AAAAAAAAAAAGAACCTGGGAAATCTTGGTGATGGGGGTAAAGGAAGGGCTCATTATACTATTTTATGTTGTGTATGGTTTTTTAAAAAGGTTCCTCCAAATCTAATAAACAAGAGCCCAAAACGAAGATCTAAACAAAGTGGAAGAAAAACAGTACCAGCAGGGCTTCCTTGTATTTCTGTGCCAGATGCTGATTACATTTCCACAGAGGGCTGGCTATTTGCCAGAATCACAGTTATTCTGGAACACACATGTCTGCCTGAAATCCTAAACCGACAGCAGACGGCTACCTTGCAGGACAATAATGCTTAAGGCAAATTTTGCTGTTACAATGAAAAGAGCTCAGTTACTGTCCTCTTATCTCCCATGGAGAACACAGCCCAACAGCAAAAGAGGAGACCCACAGACAAGATTGCTATCCTACAAAAAGTCTTTATTTAAGATTTATTTCAAAGAGAAATGAGCTCCTGAGACACACCATACTAGATGACATGAGATCTACTTTTAGCCGTTATTCTAGGCCATACAAAGTAGAATAAAGTTTAATAAACTGTAAGTGAAATGCAGTGATCCGTCATGTCAACAATACATTGTATAAGCTTATCTAACTAGGTTGACTAGTATGAACTTGGAAGAAGAAATATAGATAGAAAAAATTGCCCCTAACAAAAAGGCTCTAGAGAGGTCTGGATAAATAAAGGGACAGTAACAAATATACAGAATTGAGACATTATTTTCAAGTGTTTCAGGAGCTACTCCTGGTTGCTAGTCCAACTTACCAAAGTCGTAAAACAGAAAAAGTAAAAAAGCAGATGAGCTAGAGAACACTTTTACAGAACCAAATTCCTATAAATAAAAACTATGGTGGGGCGCCTGGGTGGCTCAGTCGGTTAAGTGTCCGACTTCGGCTCAGGTCATGATCTCGAGCTCTGTGAGTCTGAGCCCCGTGTCGGGCTCTGTGCTGACAGTTCAGAGTCTGGAGCCTATTTCAGATTCTGTGTCTCCCTCTCTCTCTGGCCCTCCCCCATTCATGCTCTGTCTCTGCCTCAAAAATAAATAAACATTAAAAATAAATAAATAAAATAAAAATAAAAACTATGGTTAATTCTTTGATATTCAATCTGAGACAATGGTTGGCCTGCATTGTTACAGTATTACCTGTCTTCCTGCTCCCATTTCTCTAAAAAGAGTTCCAAGTCAACAAACAAAACCCTTGGTTCCCTAGCAGCTACCTGCTCTAAGCCCTGCTTCTGGTCTACATCTTTGCAAAGAAACCAATCTGATAATGTCTGATAGTTGTCTTCACAAAACACCTCTGACTCCTCCACAAAATGACAAGCTCAATCCACACACACAGCAGGTGTGGATGTGGTTAAGTGCAATTCGTTAGAAAAGAACAGCACTACTACAATTATCACAAGATACTTCCTTCAACCATTAACTCCTATCTTCCAATTAATAAAGGCCCAAACTGGCTGCAAATCCTGGGAAACTTACCAGGACAAACATTTACACAGTTTCATAGAAACTAGTCATATGACATATTTCATATGACTAGAAATGATTATGTATCGACCTTAAATATAAAATAATTTTCTCCTAAAATTACTATTCCTCAAAAATAATACACATTTTTTAAGAGGATGCTATCTTTAATGACTAGGTTAGTTATTCATTAGTGCTGACAAAACTAAGTGAACTTTTTGCTTTGAATTTGACAAGATGTGTTTTTCACATTTGACGGATATTTAAGGCAATGAATTGATGATCAGATTTGGGCTTCTACTAAGTATATTAATAAATAAATACCTTACATTTTAAAAATGGATCAGTCAAGCAAAAGAAAATATAACATTTCCAATGCTTTTATCTTTTAAAATAGCACTATGAAAGGTACAAACCGCACAGAAATTACTAGTCTTCCAGTAATTTTTTTTCTTCAAGCTATTTTTAATAACTATTTTTTGATGCAACTGTTGCTACAAGTATAGTTGGCATCATCTAACTATAGAGTGTTATACAGTGTGCAGTGATTCATCACTATAGCACTATATATGGTTAAAGGAAAATGACTATGTGGGACCATATGCAAAAGAAAAAAACATTACTATTTTTGTGAATGCTTACAACTATTTCCTGTGAAAAGATATGTGAAGGGTGAGGGCACCAAAATATAATTACTACAAACATAGATTCTACTCACCAGTTTGATAGCTACATATTCATTGGTGTAGAGATTTTTACCTAGGGGAAAAGCAGAATGTATATGTTTTAGTGACATTTATTTTGGGAAATGCAAAGCAAAATCTTAGCTTACAGGGTCATGAGAAAGGTCACGTTCCCAACGCTATTCACATATATGAAACATGATTTATAAGCGAAAAGCTAAAGAAATAATGAGACCCAGTAAGACAAGAATAGAAACCACTTGAGAATTTGGAAATTTAAGTTAGACGTGAGAACTTAGAAAAAAGAAAACAAGTCTCCTCTCTCTCACACACGTTTTGTTATTTATTATTTCCCGACAACTAAGCCATGAAGCAAACCAAGAAGTGCCAGAATGTCAAAGATGCAGAAATTTTAACTCTTGGCACAATAAACACAAACCCTCACTTTTTAAACTAACAAATGGGAATTATAGATTATTTGTCACTGCCCTAAAACTTACCTACTGTCTGTAAGTAGATGATTCTCAAAGCTGTTTGGCTTTTGCACCACAACTCTAGCTCTTTATATGCAGAAAACGGCTCTCTACCTGCATAACTTAAACATCTCAAGTTCTTCCTGAAATAGTAGGGATTATTTCCTCTCAACTTCTCTACTTCAATAAGTGGAATCAATACTCTCCTAGACATCTAGAGGAAGTGCCTGGAGTGAGGATGAGGATGAGGATGAAGGTAGCAATTACCCACTTTGTGAGCTCATACTACATGCTCGCTATGTAGCTATCTTAACCTCCCCACCTCTACTCATTCTTAAAGGCGAATTTAAATTCCTCCAGAGTGTTTAGTGTATACCATGTGGTTTAGCCACTGCACTGGACTTCACATTTCTTCTTATACATTTGTCCTATCTTAATCAGCTAGACTATAAATATCTTGAGGGTAGGAAATATTTATCCAGCAGTTCTCTCAATGCCTCATCGACTGTTCTGCACATCACAGACATTCAAAACAAACACTGACTGATGAAAAGTTATCAGCACGTATAATTACTTTTTAAATAACACATAGGAGTAAATGTATTTACACACACATACACACACACACATAATGTACATGGCTAGATATAAAGGCATGGAGAAGGATATACAAAGATGTACATTAAAGACAGATACCATATGTTTTCAATCTTATGTGGATCCTGAGAAACTTAACAGGAACTCATGGGGGAGGGGCAGGAAAAAAAAAAAAAGAGAGAGAGAGGTTAGAGTGGGAGAGAGCCAAAGCATAAGAGACTTAAAAACTAAGAACTGAGGGTTGATGGGGGGTGGGAGGGAGGGGAGGGTAGGTGATGGGTATTGAAGAGGGCATCTTTTGGGATGAGCACTGGGTGTTGTATGGAAACCAATTTGACAATAAATTTCACATATAAAAAAGCAAATATAGAAAGATATACATTAAGGTATTAAAATGACTATTTCTTAAACACACACACACACACACACACACACACACACTTTATCTTGGAAACAAAAGGCTGCTTACAATACTATTTTAACCAAGATCTAAACAACAGGCAGCCCTTTGCAAACTATACCATTATACTTTTAATAAGGCTATCAGGTTGCTGAGCACCTTTATGTGTCAAAGAGTACACTAATTTAGGAATAACTTTTGTGCGCAAGTAACATAATAAAGAGGACTTGCCGACTGCCAGAGAAATACCTAAGATACCATTAAAGATGAACAACTTCTTTTTTAAAGAAACCAAAGTAGAAAACAGGTATTTTTTCCCTATATATTAATTGCATTCAGCTTCTAAAAGTCAATTTGTGTTTCTGATTAATCTTCCCACCAAAAACATTTTTAAAAATGTATCTGATGAAATTGTGAAAAGGAAACTAATAACTGGGAGAGGAATAGATGAGGCAGAAACAGCCAATGGAGGGAAATTAAAGTTCCCTGCATGTACAAAATTAAATTTTATTTTCTGTTTAAATAAACAAAACCAAAAAACTTCAGCTTAGCCACAGACTTATCTCACACCAGGTACAATTCTGCATAAAGATTTTTCAGGATAGCCCTTCCTGGCACAGTATAAGCATTATTATTGTGACCCCAAGTCAATTCTGGCACAAGGCTGACCCTAAGAACTTAGTATTATTTAGAGACAAACAGTCAATTTCAAATTGTAAGTATGTTTAGGAGTCTTTCTGAATTGGACACACCCTCCCGCCAGTTTTTACAGTGAGAATTCCTATGGGAGTCAGGGGTACCAAAATTCATCCCTTACTCATTTAAAGTATAACATGCCATTAGTGTCGGAGATAACTTAATCTTTGAAGTATATGTGTGAAGTAACAGATCTTTAATTCCATAGATACAACATTTAAAGTGAAGTATGGTAGTGGTAGAAATGTAATAGAGTAACCAACCTAGATTCTGATCTGTGAGCAAGAAAAGAGAGAAGGCAATTCAGGAGTTCTCAGGAAATAAATTCTTTTCTTTTTATCTTCCCTCTACGTCCTTCCCCCAAGAGTCTTAAAAAATGAGTAGGATTTTAAATAGCTGAAGAAGGGGAGGGGCGCCTGGGTGGCTTAGTCAGTCGGGCGTCTGACGTCTGACTTCGGCTCAGGTCATGATCTCACAGTTTCTGAGTTCGAGCCCCGCGTCGGGCTCTGTGCTGACAGCTTGGGGCCTGGAGCCTGCTTTGGATTCTGTGTCTCCCCCTCTCTATGCCCCTCCCCTGCTCATGCTGTGTCTCTGTCTTTCAATAATGAATAAATGTTAAAAAAAAAAAATTAAATAGTTGAATAAGCGGAAAAGGCATCCCAAAGCGAAGAAGATGAATGAACAAACAAAAAAGTGACAAAGTAGATGGCACAGTCTAAGAATGATAGGTGGTCTGGGAGTAGACGGACCGTAAGTTGCATTGTGAGGATCAGTAAGTGGTAGGGACAGACAAAGAGGGGTTACAGTAGAAACAGGGCTAGAAAAGTAAGACTCGGTATACATGAGAAAAGTCCTCAATGCCACTTAAAGTTTAAAACAAAGTTTTTGAGTAGGGTAGTGACATGATCAAACCTGTGTTTTGAATAACCACTTGTGAGGAAACATAAATGACCAATTAAAAAAATAAAAGACCAGAGGTAGGGGTTAGCATTTGAACATTTATTACCCATCATATGCAGATATCAGACATCTAAGATGAGTAACACTCAGTTCTCACCCTGCAGAGACTATAATCTAGCTCCTCACACAGGGCCTTGTACAGATGGCACACAAGTTTATTGAATTAATCACATAATGTGATGAGAGTTAAAAGAGAAATATGAACAAGTCAATAGAGGAGCCTGGATGAGGGAGTATAAAGCATCTGGCCACAAGTGGCACTCACAGTAAGTCTCAGAAGGACAGAGGAGAGAATAAAGGGTATTTCATAGTACATAAAAAATACTAATGTGAATAGTGAGATGGAAACATGATAGAAAATGCACAGAATCTGATATACTGCATGTGGACCGACATGAATGGAACACAAAATAAATGGAGAAAAACGGTGAGAAGTCAAGTCAGAAAGATCCAATAGGGACAGAGTGTGAATCACCTTGAATGCTAGCTTCTTACCCTAGGGTATGCACAACCAAACATATGTGGAGATGTGCCAGGGCATAAGCTATACAAATAAGGCATGCTTTTCCTAGATCCTCACTTTCCTTTGAAGATTTGGGAAAAATCTTTTTTATAGTAAAACAAACTTTTTATATTATAGAAATTGCACAGATTTCTTTTGAAGAAAAAAAAAGGTAAGAGTTTAAAGAAATCCCAGGCACTTACAGATCTGCTTCTTCCAGAGTCCAGGGCGGGGATTGGGGGTCGGTGGGGAGGTCTCACCAATCAGTGGGTAAGCTTTTTCTCATTTTCCCCATTGGGCAGCCCAGGTTTCACAGTGTGTTTCACTTTCTACAGTGTGAACCTGCCATCTCCCGTGAGGGTGGTACAGGGTATCTGCCAGGGGATGCCAGGGAGGGAGATGATTTAGCCATCTGACTGCTTCACATATAGACTTGCAGCTAAGCTCTCTGTTTTTACTCCTTCTCCTTACTTCATCCCTGCTTTCTGAGCTCCTAGTGTCTCCAATTCTTTAGTTTAAATAGTGTAATTTATGTTACAAACCCCCCTACCCTTTCAATCATCAGCCTGCTCTGGACTGCTAAGTCAATTACCACTTAACTATCTACTCTCCAGCTTCAAAAATTTTATTAACATTTCTCACTTGTTTTCCTCTTCTCTCTCACTTGGTGTGTGTGTGTGTGTGTGTGTGTGTGTGTGTGTGTGTGTGTGTGTGTGTGTGTGTGTGTGTGTGTGTGTGTGTGTGTGTGTGTGTGTGTGTCTGTGTCTATTTATGCCTTAAAGAGGTCAAGAAGAATGTTCAACTCATCTCTTTAGCCCTGGCAACATATACAGTATCTGATATGTAATGGGTAACAGATGCTTGCTGCAGTGAAAACAAATTCATTTAACATTCAGAAGGTTCTGACAAAGTTCTAGGATAATAAAAAAAGAAGCCTAGGTTATAATCAGATATGGATAATCCTAAATGCATATATAGGAGTTTTGGTTTCCTTATTCAGCTTGCTGTGAAACCAACAAAGGTCTTGTGCCACGAGTAAAAGCATAATGGTAAAAATTTTATTTTAAAAATATTAATCTGGCCCCAAAGTATAAAATAAAAGAGAGGAGAATACCTAGAAAGAGGAGAGGAGAATACCTAGAAAGAAGATGAAGGGGAAGCTTTGATAGCAGAACATTTAAAGAATAAATGTTCTTTATGTGGTTATGAGCATTCCATGAGTTAGAATATGTGAAAGTACTTTCTAAACTGCAAAATGCTAGATAAATCTAATTTTTATCTACTTCTCTTATTATTGCAGGGTATTACCCAATAATTGCTGGAAGAAAACAACTTAAAAATATGATTTATAATCAAGGCATTTCAATGAGACAAAACTAATAACCTTTGGAGTACCTGTAAATGTGAAGGAGAAGGAAAAGAGAAGGGTCAAAAAAGTCTTCATCAGT